CGTACACACACACACTCACCTACATATACATATATATATATATATATACATACAAACATATAAGTACAAATGTGCTACGTTTTATTGCACGAGACTTTCGAGCAAGAGCACACAAATGCAACAGGAAGCGCACACATACATATGTACGTAACACCAGCTCATACACACACACACTCATGCATACATATATGTCTATGTGTATGTATGTGTATTCGCATTTACAAACGTGCAGCCGCATAGCGCAACAGTTCAACAGACATTTGAGGTGCAAATGGAAAATTTTCAAGATGCCCGGCATCAGCAGCAGCAGCACCACTACCAACAACAACAACAACAATTCGAATGACACACAGACAAAAAACGGTATAATGGCACGCCGAGTGAGTACATAAGCCGCATGGCAGCTCTGCTTTGCTTGTGGCGAAAAGAAAGTGCTTTCGCTTATTGCTCCTTGGCCTGACTTTTACTACCAACTGGCATGCCTACGCCACCACTTCCTGCCGCCAGCGCCATATTCGGGTTGTGCGCATAGTTTGCACATTTGCCTATTTGCCTGCCAGACGGCAACGCCAGATTGCCAGCTTGAGTGCCTGAGTGTATGTGTGTATGTGCCTGTGTGTGTGTCTGTGTTCGGCTACAATAAAATGCAATAAGTGCCCTTCTTACTTTTTTGCTGCAGCCACAAATTCGCAAACTATTTCAGGTTAGCAAGAAAGTGCCATCAACTATTGCACGCACCACTTGAAAATTAAATAACCCAGCAAGGCAATGCTCGAGCGCCTGCATTAAGCACACAAACACACACTGACATACACACAAAGAGAGAGGTGTGCATAAATATGCAAGTAAATTATGTAAGCTGAAGGAGTTTCTATGCAGCTTGCTGAAATATTTTCATACCCTACTTCCGAAAGCGCAAGAAAATATTATAAATATATTACCAGCAGCTGCCCCACTAAGACTGTCTTTCAGTGCTTGCAACATGGAGCCTTATGTAGGCCACTTAGGGTGTTTATCTTTTGACTGTCATTGATAAATAGTGAAGTTTTGTCAAGATGGATTATGCGCGTTGCATATAAATGTTGAAGTACATGCTTTCACATAACTCGATAAGCATTTTATATGAGTGCACGACGTGCGTGACTACTTCTAGCGAAGTCCTGAGTTCCAATCCTCTGCAGGCATGTGGGGAATATGGAAATAACCAACCGTAGGCAGACATCGTCAAACCTGCGAGTGCAGTTTTCAGTTGTAAATATCAGCTATAAGTTCCAAAGGCCTATTTAATTGAAACTGCGGTTGCGAAATGCATTAACACAAGCCAAAAGGAATGTCATACCACAGATACCAACATTACTATAGCCATTAATAATTATAACATTTCGGAAAACGAATGCAAACGCGTCTTATATGTAAATACTTCAATTTAGATATTCGAGAAAAAAAATCGTTCACTCGCTGAACAACGAACAAGAAAAAACGTTGCAAACGGTTGCACCAAAGCTATAATTGACTACACAAATAAAAAAATTAATCGACGCCAAATTTCGTGAAGATATCTCGTCAAATAAAAACATTTTCCATTCAAGGACTTTTAGTTTGTATTGTAGCTATATTTTATAGTGATCCGATAACGGCGTTTCCGACAAATGAGCAGCTTCTTGGGGAGAAAAGAACGTTTGCGAAATTTCAGAGCGATAGCTCAAAAAATGAGAACTAGGCGTGTATATAGGCGGACAATCGAATCTAAATCGACTCAGCTCGTCACGCTGATCATTTTTATATATTTATATATATTTTTATAGGGTCTCCGATTTCTTCTTGGTGTTACAAACTTTGTGGGAAACTTAATATACCCTATTCACGGCATAATAATAAAATTATGACTCTCTTTTTATATTGTCTTGTTGAATACCCTAAATATAAGCCAGAGACGTGCATGAAAACTCACAGAATGTTAAAACATATTTATGATTACAGCGATGCTAATATGTCGTCGTAACTTGTGCATACGATGTCTAGCAGTATTCGGCGTCGTTAATATTAAGTGAAGGGTAGATAATATTGAAGTAAAACTTCGAGCAGTGCTTTCATACAGACCTCATGATTGATAACAGTATATGGTCACATGATCATTGGTGTAAAGAGAGAGTTGTATATAGTTTTAGTATGTGTATAATGAAACGGGACATGCCTTCTTTTAAAATTACTCTTTCAGGGCGTAAATCAAGACCGATATCTTCAACACTTATATGAAGCTTATACTAGATTAAATAGAATAAATTAAAAATCCTCAATTTGGAGCGAACAGATAAAGTACTAGAAATTCGAAAATTGTACCTAGAAAAGTTCAAAATACTACTTAGCAGCCGTAATCCTTAGCCTTCTTCTTCAATATATCCATAGGAACATACTTAGTTCATTAGTTGCTTGTATTTGTAGCCTCCAATATTCTAGTAGTGCTACCTGAGAAATATGGTAAAATGGTTAGTATGGAACCTATAAAGCTTCTGTCGTAGCTAAATGGAGAGTAAGCAAAGATAATCCGCTAAATTTTTGTCACCATTAGCGGAAACCAATAGAATCCTCTGATCTGTAACCACACGTGGGTAAGTGCAGTGTTAGATATCTTATATGATATAACTCGAATAGTTATAGTGATACCGGTTAAACCATACCGCACCATTTATTACCAACTAAGGCTTCAAAGAGCCTAAGCCAGTCAGTAATGAATGACTGTTTAAATAAAGAGAACGACACTTTCAATATCCACGATTTCTACCGGATATAATAAATATAATATTAAATTTGGTGATTACTTACAAATAATGACTACTTCGCATTTATACGATCGGTATGTATTTAAATAACAACCTCGGTACTACAATTGACTATTATTTATGTCTTTGGTCTAACTTTTTCTCAATTACCTGTTGACTGAATGTTCAAGTTAATGAACGTTACTGTCTATGCTCTTTCACGAAGTCACTATGAGACAGCCTAAAAGTAGGCGGTTTTTGGGAATAAAAAAAGCTTACTGTATCATTTTGTTTTTTAACTTTAAAATTTTGAAGAAAAAAATTAACTATTTATCGGGCTATACGCGATTCCGGTCTTTTCTGTGGATGAAGCCTAGGTTAGGTTATGTTAGGTCATAGGGTTGATCCAAAATCGATGGATCTCACTTGGACAGATATTCGCCATTAAGGTTACCCATAAACTCCTAAAAGTTTATCAAGAGATAAGTATAGATCCACAAAGCTTTTTGAGCTCACCACAAATTTGTTAAGGCGCCTAATGTCAATACCAGCAACTTTACTACGTTCGCCAAAGGTATGTCTACCACGATATTTCAATCTCAGTCTGTCACAAGCCAGGCAATAAAGTAGGAAGTGACAAGATGATTCCAAATCGCTTTCTCCATTCAGCTTTGGCACACGTGTAAACTTATTGGACAATGGCCAGTCAGAACACCTACAATTGCGTCGAGATTGACTTTGCTAAGAGCCAGTATTTCGGTGAACCTCTTACGGTTCACATAGGCGCAGAAATATCTCGCAGTCGCACAAATTCTGGTGGTTGACCAACGCTTGCGGAGCTCACTGGAGATCCAAAGATCTACCGTCAGAACGCAAAAACATCGGAAAACTGACTCGCTTTCAATCGGACGAAATTGGGGAAAGGGTTCCCTCCTTAGCAAGCTTATCGGCTTTATAGTTTCTGGTAATTCCGCTGTTACCAGGCACCCATATAGGTCTAATATGAAAGAAGCTTGAAACTATAGCTAATGAGGTCATACATCCTTAACTAGTTTTGAGCGCACAGTCAGCGAGCTCAAAGCCAGTATAGCCGCTCGGATATTGGAGTGATGGATGAAACCTAAGAAAACTATCTACTAAAAAGTATTGAGTCTCCATTGACCTATGGTCGAAAAAAATTAAATATTGGTAAAAAAAATTTAATTTAATACCAAATTTTGGTCTTATTTTACCTGCCAAAATTCGATATTTGAACAGATTCAATAACTGCTAGGTCATTGTATGGAGAACTATATAAGGTCATGCAAAATAGTTAGCGGAACATTGTCTTCAAGTAATCATTCAATCAAATTTGAAAAAATTTACTTTTGAGAAAATCGCGTTTAAATATGAACTAATGAAGCTGACTCCTATACTACTCAAAAACTATTTGAGATATCGATTGAAAATTTCAGTATGTTATTATTAAGAGTATAAGCTATTGAATTGTAAAAAATAATAAATGTTTTTTAATTTCACGCGAGGTGCCACTTAATTAAAACTAGATGAAGTTCAGCTAGCTAAGATAGCTGGTGTTCTGTGCAGATGAAAGTGAGACCGCAAACACTATTTTTAGAAACAGTTATAGAATATATGAACTTTAACAATTTTTTTGTGAGCAATTAGAAAGCGCCACTTCCACTTGTAACCATATCTTTATATGAAATGTTTTTTGTGAGGCATGTATTGTACATTTATCAAAGAAAGTGAACTTCATTTTACTGCAACAAAAATATTTTGGAAACTATGTCCTATGGAGCACACATAAAGCACAGCAGGCCACCATTTTCGCTTTGTAGTTACGATTATGCACATAAATAAACTGCTGGAATGGCCTACAGGCCCTTGTTGCTGCCTTGAATGCCTTTCAACACCCTGCTTACAAGTTTGCAACATTGTAGTGTTATTATTGCTGCTTTCTGGTTTTTGGTGCAACAGTTTGCAGCTGCTGCTGCTTCTTGCCATTTCAATACTGCCATTTTAATACTGACACTCATACATACATATACATATTTACACGTCTACTTTAGTTGTATAGTTTTTTGTACGCCATAAAAGCTGAGTAGCGGCATATTGCAACACTGCAAGGCGCCAGGCGAACGCTTGTTGCAATTGCTTTTGATATCGCACACATTTATATGCGCGCACTTATTTGATATTTTATTTGCCACATTACATACACAAATAAGTTGTTTAACTCACCGAAATTTCGTCCGAACAAAGGAGCAAAGCGCAAACGGAATGAAATATCTGAAAAGGAAAAGAAAATAAACAAGTCAGTGAAAATGTAATTTTCTTTGCTTATGTTGCAAAATGTGGCATAATGTTCCCATGCATTTGCATTTGTCGGCAAAGGCTTTGATAGCGCTGAAAATGCCGGCACAACAACAACAACATAACTAACAAGCGCACGCCTTCTTGTGCCCGCCGCCCGCACCCGGCGCTGTGCAGGGTCGTCGTGTGTCAAGAAGTTCAAGTGTGCAACATGAAGTACAGTTGAAGTATTTTAATTCACCTTTCGGCATTTCATATGTGCCAAACATACACTCACACACATATCCACATGTGCGTGCGTGTGTGTGTGTTTTTACATTAGTTTGGGCATGCTTTTGTGTTATTATTAGAAATTGCATGTAATTATCGTGCAATAAAATACACTTACACTGTCGTGCTGCTACTTCTTCTTCTTCTTTGGTTTTATTGTGCAGCTTTTATGTTTCTGCTCCACAAGCAGCGGCATGGAACTTTGTGGCAAGTCGAGAGCTAAGTAGCAAGGCGTTATTTTTCATTTGGCTTTGTTTGCCTCAAAAGTTTGGCAACTCAAATTCATGCGAGTGCGCTGTTGTTGTTGCTATTGTTGGCAGCATGTAAATGAATTAAATTAATTTCCATGAAAATTGCACAGCTCTAATTACATTGCGAGCAAATTATTAATTGGCCTTTACTCTGGTTTTGACATTTTAATTGCTTATGCAAAATAAAATTAAATTTTGTAGCAATCGCATTCGGGCGCATTCGGTAGTTTGTGGCGAAAGTGCAACAAAACTCAATGTAAGTTGTTAAAATTATTAGCGCATACTTTGAGCGCTTGAGCTGACGTCGTCTCTAACGGATTCATACTTTGCACTGTGGCACTCTGTTTGGGTGCATTCGTGTGTTGCATATTTGATTAACTCGTGCAAAAACTGGAACAGCAGAAGTTGCTCAAAAGCGAAATCAGCAACCGAAACTGAAAAGCAGAGATATTTGTATAAAAAAAAAGTGAAGTGCCACTTCTCTCTGCCACAAGTATTAAGGTCAAAGATTGCAATGGTTGACCTTTTGAATTTGATCAAATTCGAAAAGAGAATTTATAACAACTATGGGAGGGAGAAATTCGGTTGGAATGGAATGTTATAAGCTCTCGCTAAAGTAAATTTGATACACCTTTGAAATTCAGTTTTGTTAACAGGCAGAAATCGTTGTATTCGATGAATGAGCGATGTAGTAAAAGACCAATTTCATTCGCTTTAATACCTATACCGTAAACATTTTTTATTATATCTCACAGACAATAGTAGAAACTTATTTTTATTTAGTATGTGGGGATCTAAAGAAAATTAAGATTGAGGTCTTATACATCCACTTAATATTTATGTCTTTCGAGCTATGTTGTACCTTAAAACACCTTATGAGATTTTGGAAAATGATGTTATATGAAAGGGGGATCCCAACCATAGATTTATTGTGGTACAGTTAAAGCAAATTTGCCACGCTCAAAACAGGCAACTTCAGAAACTTAGTGTTTTGCATTCGGCAGATAGAGCATGATTCAGATTTTCTAAGTAATTGAGAGTATTGCAATCAAGTGAGAATAATTAAGTATGCAACTCACAAAAGATACCCAGAACTTCAGAAAGTGGGATGGTTTTTTGCATATAGTAATATATATATTTTTTTAACCATCGGACTTATTTTGACGTGAGAATTTTTGATTGAAAATTAGGATTTTTTTTCGATTTTAGGTCGAAAGATCTTCTCATTGCCTACAACATTTCCATATAAGTTTATTCTATAGGACTTGTAGTTTTGCCGAAAATCGAGATAAACCGCTTTATCCCTTAAAATTTCAACTTTCCCTGGGAGCGGTCTTTCCTATCCCGAACTCAGATAATCGCCAGAATCCAAAACACCTCGGCTGAACGAAACCGAAGTATATAGAGCCAATAATGTTTTGTGGTGTATTCGTCTAGTGGAGGGTGCTTGAAAAGGCTACACTCGCTAAGAAGCTTGAAGACTACACAGCACTCGGGGACATAACCGGCAAGTGCATTGCTGCGAATGTTGGTGTATGACTTCTCTCAGTTATGTAAATATGAAATGATTCAAAAAGGGACACTCTGAAATTTTCTCCTTCTTCGACCGCATTCCTAAAAATTTGGACTATTGCGTCGCAGAGCCTACACGTGGTGGTTTTTTCTCTGCCCACATACCCACGATGGATATTTGGAAAGGGCGAAATCACTGGCGAAGAGGCGTAGTGAGCTTTTTTACGAATGTGTCGAAGCTCAAAGGGAAGGTTAGAGGTGGGATCTTCTGTAAGGAGCTCTTCGTCAAGCTTACGTTTCAGGCTACCATATAACTGAATTGTTTTTCATAGCGAAATCAACAGGAGTCGGACCGGTCTTAATTGGGTGTACATATGTTGCAATTTTATATTTACTTAATAGTGTTTCTGGGTTTGTTCAAAATGTCAGAATGATATTGCGTTGTATGTTGTAATTATATAGTTTCAAATGTGGAAAATAAACAAAAATACAACTGGTCTTACGCGACATATTTGATTTTCTTTGCCGGACTGCAGTCCGGGTCTCGCGTGTAGATTTGAATAATTTTACGACAATAATTTTCCTTTCAAAAATCAGCACGCTCATAAGTTTGAGTTAATGTATTAATTTTGCTATTGTATTTTATAATAGATCAATGACGGGTTTTTATTCTTATACATTTCATTTGAATATCAGATTCTTATTAGCAGAAAAATCTTGATCACCGCCGGACACCTTTTTGCGGTGGTCGTCCTGGAGATCGAGTTTGGAACAAGGAAATCCAAATTTTTTCAGAATAAATCATCGATTAGTAAAGCATATTAAGTTTGCCACGATTTTTGTAACACCCCGGGGGAAAGACCCTATAAAAAATATATATAAATGATCAGCATGATGAGCTAAGTCCACACGTCCTTTTCTCCCCAATAAGCTACTTATTTGTTGGAACTGCCGTTATCGGATCACTAAAGCATGTAGCTGCGATACAAACTGAACGATCGGAATCAAATGCTTGTATGGAAAACTTTTTCATATGACGAGATATCTTTAAGAAATTTGACATGGTCATGTCATTGTCTAAAGCAACGGTGTAATATCCGAAGAAATTTTTCAAATCAGATTACTATAACATATAGCTGTCATACAAACGCACCGATCAAAATCAAGATACAGATAAATAAAGTATATACACACATGTGAATGATAGGAAAGCTTCGGTGCATCCGAATTTATCGTTTTTTCTTATTTTACTTATTTATTAAACAAAATGCCTCTTCAAATAAAATCACTAATAAACAAGATTTTTCTATGATACTTGCAAATGGATATAACACTTTGAAGAAAAATTTACTCTTCATAAAAATGTTTGCACTATTTTTTCTCTCAGATATTTACATGCATAAATATGTATACCGTATATATAATATATTATATATACAATATATTTTTAATCTAAAACCAAAGCGGCAATTCCTTTCCGCTCTGAAAGCATTCTAAAAACACTTTCAGATAAATTAAATTAAAAGCAGCTTTTGAACCAGTTTAAGGCAGGCAGCAGATGATATGTGAAAAATATATATTAAATGGCATACACACATATATTTTACACACACACACTTCTAAAAGACAAGTTTCCCAACCTAATCAGCATAATGCGAAAAACATATACTGGGCCATGTGGCATGAGAGCGGCAACTGGCTCAATTTCCATTAGCCCCAATTTGGGCTTATATAATTTATTTTAACGCTAATGTGAGCGTAATTTTTAATTAGCACGAAAATTTGTCTAGCTTACCCATACCACGATGTGAGTACACACATATACACATAAAACTCATATGAGCATACCAAAGTCCAAAAACGACATTACGGTGTGTTGCAACATGGCGCACGGCTGGTGGAGCGTGGCAACGAATCGTTTACGTTGCATTATTTAATAAATTGCTTTTGTGTCACCATAGATTTTAACAAGACAATAACAGCAAAAACATTGCGGCAATTGACACACGCATGCGGGTGTTTTTGCACCGACGCTGTGGTTGCTGTTGTTGTTGCCCAACTGCATATGCTGCCGTAAAGGCAATTTAAGTGACCAGCGCGCGCTGCTGTTACTGCTGCCGTCCCCAGTGCGCAGAGTTGTGCGGTGACCGTGCTAGTTGTTGCTGTTGTTGCACGTAGCACCACCTCCGCGCGCTGAGTTTGTGTTCAACTGTAATATGCCACATGCGCCAATTTCAATTTGGCGCCCAATAAAACATTCATGAACACCTTTTACGCTATAAAATCCGCATCAGCACCACGCTGGCAAGATAGCACACACAACACCGCGCGCACACTCACACGTACATACACAGTGGCTGCGCAATTGCTTTTACAAGCGTACATGCTACATGCGCGTCTGTCTGTCCATATGAATGTATGATTATATTTATGTAAATGTATGGCAAAGCAAGCGCGCGCATTCGCATGTAGTATGCATGCCACACAGCCACACACATACAAGCGCGTGCGGCAGTGTTAAGTGTCGCCTGTGCAATGTGTTGGCGAATCTGTTACTGCCGCTGCCGCTGCTGTGGTGCACTTAAAGCGACACCAAGTGCAAATTGCATTTCGGCAATAAGCAAGAGCACAACACCAGTGACAGCAGCGATTACAAAAAGCAGTAACAACAAATACAACAACAGTGGTAGCAAGACTACCATGCAACATGTTCAGCATACATGCACCTTGCTGCAGCACGCACCCCACCGACGTCGCACCCCAAATGCCAACAATTGTGTCAGCTGCGCGCCTGCTTGGCGGTTTGCACTTCAACAGCCACTTGGTGGCACTTGCTGTTGCTGTTTTGTTGCACAATTTTAGTTGAAATATTTTTTATACTCTTTTTCTCTTTCATTTCGCCGCCGCGTGCCATATAAGCACACAAACACACATACACACATG